AAAAATTGTATAAAAATATATCAAATTTGAGACATTTAATTTAAATATATAAAATATAATTACTTTAATTTGTATTTATTTTATATTATTTATTTATTAATTTTATTTGAGTGAATTACACATTTGGTCCCCCATGAATACCTTCTTTATGGTTTTAGTCCCTCGAAATCATATAGTACATTGGTCCCAATTTTGCAAGATTTTTTTTTAATATTATATAATTTTTAAATGTTAAATATTTTTAATATACATCTCCTACTATCGGTGGGGTGACACCTAGTTTTGGTATGTTGGGAGATATCATTATTGCTGAACCCAATGCCTACATTGCGTTTGTGGGTATATTATATCAATTTATTTTAAAAAGAAATAAAAAACATGTAGAAAGACCAAAATGCTCCTCACGGGAAAGGCATTTTACCAACTTAACTGGTCCAACTAACTGTGTTAAGTGGGAGGAACCGATTTGGGCTCTAAAACAGAATTTTTAGATCACTAAGCGTACTTTATGATCTCGAGGGATGAAAACCAAGAAGAGGTATTCACAAGGGACCAAATGTGTAATTCACTCATTTTTATTTAAATATGATTATTTTAGTTATAGAGTAAATTACATTTTTGGTTCTCGTGGTTGCCATCCATTATCAAGTTTGATCCTTCTTTCAAACTAATTAGACTTTTGTTCACGGTGGTATCATTTTGTTTCATTTATGGTCCTTCTAACCAACTCTAGTTGAAAAAAATTAGTTAACTTAATGGTATTTTGGTCATTTACCTTTTCTTGTCTTTTTCATTTTTTTTTGTTAGATTATATGATAAGTTACAATTTTAGTCTTTGTGGTTTGTCTTTTTTTGTCCTTCCTACCTGTTTCCATTTTCAGGGTCGTCTTAATCTTTTTGTAGGCTCTGTTACACTTGTTACCATGTACTACTATTATAGTTCATCTAAAACAAGTAATAAACAAGACAAAATATAAAAGTTCATATCATATTAAAAGCTTTAGAATTAAAACAACAAAAATACTTAAAATGACAAAGTAACATGTGAAATTCACTTACAAAATCATTCTTTTAACATTTTTTGAAACAAAGTCTTCAATGAGTTCTTTATAATCAACTTTATCCAAAAATTCATTTTCAATCACGATCAAAGCAAGTCCATTAAGTCTATCTTGTGTCATTGTGGAGCGCAAATAGGAGTTCAACAACTTCAACTTTGAGAAACTTCTTTCTGCAGAAGCAACAGTTATAGAAATAGTCAACAGAAGTCTATGAATAATGATAGCATTAGGGAAACATTCTACATGCTTCAAATACTTCAAAATATCAATAAGTCCCATATTTTGATTTGGTAAATAATCTAATAGTAATTTCAATTCCACATACAAATCATTCCCATCTACATCAAATTGGTCTTGCCTCTTTAGTGCATTTTTAAAACTAGTACAAGAAGACTTCAAACATGTATTATCCAACGAACAAAGCTTATCGGAAGTAAAACAAACCTAAAGACACTTTCATATTTTTGGTATTGTTCAAATCTTCTATTAAGTGAAGCAATTGCATGATCAACAACCCACAAAAAATAATTAATTTTTTTATGATTCCTCCGCAGATTATGAAGTAATTTCAGATGCATCACTCGGATTTTCATCAAAATTTCTTTTTCTTTGAATTTCACGCCTACGAGGAAAAAATGGATCAATATTCAATTCAATAGCAATTTTCTTTGTTGATTCTATGGCATCTAAAAACCCTGTTTCTCTATACCTCTCAAAAAAAGAAATCAACCCCTTGTTCAATAGCAACATTAATCAACATGCTTTTTGACTATAATTGTTTAAAAACCAAATGTATCGCATATATTATTTCATACAAATCACTATTGACACTAGAAACTCAAAATCACCAAGTTCATTTTGTGCTAAAGACTTTGTTATACTTCTAATTTTTGAATGATTATCAATTTCAGATGCTTTAAGCAAATCTTCTCTTATATCTGATACTTGAAATCTTATAGCTTTTACACTACCAATACGACCCTCCCAACGAGTCGTTGACAACGACTTGACTGTCCATCCTTTTACATTATATTTAAACACTTACCATCTTTTAGTAGAATTAGAAAATATCGTATATATACGTTGTATAATACCAAAAAAGTCTCTAGCTTTACCACAAGTGTTGGGTATATCACACTAAGTCAAATTAAGACTATGAGAAGCTCAAGAATTATGAAATGCTCTAGGATTTATATCTAATAGGTTCTTTTGTACTCCTTGATGTTTTCCCTTTACGTTTGAACCATTATCATAATCTTGTCCTCGCACATCATCTATATCTAGATCAAAACACGTTATTCCAGCTTGTAAAACATCAAACAAACATTGGCCCGTGGTATCATTTACCTTTAAAAATCCTAGAAAAGTTTTCTCGATGCTAACAGTTTGGGAAGAGATATCTACATACCTTAGTATTAATGACACTTGTTCTTGATGACTTATATCGAGAGTGCAGTAAAAAATAACGGAAAAATATTTTGCCTCTTTTACCTTCTTAATTAGTTCAGCCTTGATTCTCCTAGCAAGCAAAGCTATTAACTCATTCTAAATACTATGACCAAGATAGTGAAAATGGAAGTCATCATTTGTAATACGTTGAACATGATCTTGAATAATTGGGTCAAATTCGGCCAACATTTCAATCATGCCTAAAAAATTATCATTGCTACTTTCATAAAATCTTCCACTAGTGCCACGACATGCAAGATTATGTTTTGCAAGAAATTTTACAATATAATTTTTTTAGAAGGGTAAACTGTTTTTTAAAGCTGTTTTGAGATGACATTGGAATTGGGTTTAGAACAGTGAGTTCTTGAGATAAAGTTTTTGAAATGAAACTGTTTTTAGGCATTATTGGATAAAATAGCAAATAAATCTGCATTTTATGAGGAAACAAGGGTGACATATCAAAAAGAGGTGTACCAAGGGATAAATGTGGCATATCAAGGAGAAGTATACCATGGGATATGGTGGCATATCAAGGAGAGATGTACCATGGGATAACGGTGACATATCAAGGAGAGGTGTACCATGGGATAAGGATGATATATCAAGGAGGGGTGTATCTTAGGATAAGGGTGGCATTTGTGAGATGTGTGTTATATTTATAACTATTGTCTTCATATCCATAAGATGCGATAATTCAGAGTTAACATTTTTTTGTGACATGAAGACTCGGAATTATTGCTCTTATTGAAATGATAACAATGATGTTATTGAGAAAGGGAAAATGACTTATAGCCAGAGGCATTAATTGCCCGTGTTTTGAATAACAAATGCTTTTGGGATATCGAATATTATGTATTAAAGAGTAAAGATTTAATATAAAACCTAGAGGGTCTTTGGTTATTATTAAATTCAATCTTCTTTTGAGTTCAAAACAGTCCTTATTTTAAAAGTTTTAGTTAATAACCAAGAACTCTAGTTGATAGTATTTCTTTGTATGATTTTGAAAGTTGAGATTATAAGCTCTGATCTTTATGAGATTTAAGAGCTTTGGGAAGCTATGTATCGAATGCCTATGAGGATCTGAGTGGTTATATTTTCCTATGTGGTAAGAACGCATTTATCACTTGCAGTTGGTTTATGTTACTGGAATTATGTTTTACCAAAGTTGTTGGATGTTCAAATGTGATTTTATAACAGGTTTTGGTGATTTTCACCCTGTAATTACAAAGAAAGGGAATTTCTCACTAGACCTCAAGGTCTAATCCTCATTTTGTATTTCAAAAATATGCATTGAAGTCAGGCTATGTCCAGGAATAAAGGGAAGGGGGAAATGTGAATTATTTTTTTTATTGTGCTTACCTGTTCTATGGAGATCAATATGATATCTGATGGATTTTTGGAATACTTATTATTTTATACAAGTGGAGTGCAAGAATGTTATTTTTGGAATTTTTGAGTTGTAAATTCTGTAATTTAATTTCTTGTACTATTGGGATTGAAGTTTTGTTATTGTATTTCTTAAATATATGAAATACATGATTATGTGCAAATGTGGAAAGTGTGGTGTTACAAAATATAACAGATGATGAGGAAGAGGTTGATGTCATAGCTCATATCTATTTGATGGCAAGAACAGAATCAGATATGACTGATAATGAGTATGCAAACTCTGATTCAAGTGTTGAGGCACTTGAGTCTTCTTGTTTTGATCAGATGCATAGAATGATGCTCAAATTGCAAGACTTTCAGCATAAACATAAAAATGAAAAAGATCGAGTTGCTATTTTAGAAAAAGAACTTAAAAAGCAACTTGAGCTACATTCTGAAAATGCTGGAAACTTTGCTTGGACCCAATCTTTGATATCTGAAAATAAAAAGTTTCTTGAACAAAAGTGTAATAACCAAAAAAAAAAAAATTATAACAATAATAATAATAATAATTATTATTATTATTATTATGCTTAATAATGGTGGGGGTTAAGGACAAGTGAAAGGGTGGTCTAAGCAAGTGAAGAGGCTAAGTAACCACCGATTATTTATGGGGGGGGATGGTTCGATTGCTTTGAAACCGACAAATGGAGGGTATAAAAATGATGGTAACCTTGAGAAGAAATCGATCGTCAAGGAGAGCTAGTGGACGCTGGAAAAGAAGACGAAGGTTCGATACAACGCGTCTAGGTCGACACTAATCGGTAAGACATTTGTATCTCTCGTCTCCTAAGTCGTTCGATCGTCCGGGTTGTTTTTCGTTGGGCAACGGTGGCAAATGGTCACCGCTCACCTCTATCGTTCGTCACAACGATAATCCCCATCACACCGGGTTGTTTAAATTGTGACCCTCGTATCGGTTCTAGAAGATAAAACTTATGTTTAGTGTGTGTGTATATATATATATGTATATATATATATATATATAAGTATAAGGAAAAAAAATAAAATAAACCAAACCCGTTGAAGTATGGGTGCGAGTATATATATATATATATATATATGCATTTAGTGGAATGCATTACCATGCATATATATAGATATGGATGTATATATATATATATATATATATATATGTATGTAAATTAAATTTTAAATAAATGGGTAAGCATGGTTTATAAAAAAAAAAAAGAGTGCTAAGAATACTAGTCGATCATCTCTAGGGAATGATGTATGTTACAATCAACATTATGGTCTTTGATATGTAGGGAGACGTTAGCCACTTAAAACGACGTTTGGGGCAACGACTTGTACGGTGAGTTATACGTGACTTTTCTAAAAAATGGTTGCACATTTTATTTACAATTATATGCAAGCTTGCTGGATTTTTCTCTATAAAATTTAATATCATGTATGCGTAAAAATGTGCCTTATTTTGTGAAATATGTCGTGTGGCAATGGGGATGTACTATGGTACGATTCCATAAAGACAAACATGCTGTGTGAGTTTGTCTAAGCCATAAGTGCGGACATGTTGTGTGAGTCCGCCAGGTAATACTGTGTGAGGTAGTCATCTCCCGTACGCCACTAGCTTTGTGAAGTGTATTGTTAAATTGTATACATGATAAATTATGACGCTTTGTGAAATCTATTTTTTTTTACGTGGTGTATGCATTAAACCGTTAATTCACTAGGCCCTTGGCTCACCCAACTCCTTTCAAAAATAATTATGCAACCAGGTCGTCTCATACACGRGAATAGTAGCAAGGGAAAGGAGAAAGTTTAGARCCGGCTATCGCGGAATAAGGGCTTGGCGTGGAGACTATYCGGAACTTGATATGGATATCGTTAGACAATTGTTCCTTTTAAGTTTTACTAGTTTTAAAAATATATATACTTCCGTTGCGTTGAACTATTTAGACTTTATGGCTTATTTATGTATGGACGTTATTATATTAAGAAAAGAAAAAAAAATTGGGTCTTTACAAAAAGGATGTCTTGACTAAAGAGATATCTGAAATATCTGAAAAACATAAATCATTAGAGTTAGTGATAAATATTATTTTATTAACCTTGTTTTATTTGCCCATTAGTGTCTTAATAGAGTCTTTTTATGTTTTTTTTTCCATATATTAGTAGTAATATAGTATATCTAATGTTAATTCCCTGTTTATATAGGTTTTTGATTATTTTTGGGCCCAGTCGTATAGGACCAGGAGTGGCAATGTCCTATAATACCTGTCCGAGAGCTGAAATTCTGCTTGGGCCGTGGAGAAATGAGCTGATCCATAGAGGAGGCGTGGTCAACGACCTTGGGTCCCGGTCAAAGCCCAGTTTTGAAGAAGCTTTTGTCTTATTAGTTGACACCCACTATGTAATCTTCCTTAGCTTATATAAAGAAGGCTTAAGGCTTGTTTTAAACATATTTTTGGAGACTTTTCATACTTTCTTCCAATTAACACTTGTGATATTAGTGATAATTGCTCTCTAGAATATTGCTTTCAGTTCTAAGTTTCGGTTTTCTTTGTTTGTCTTTTCAAGAACTAACTTTTGTAGTTGTGATT